CCCAGCACCACATGCCAGCCAGCCCCGCCCCCTGGTGGGCTGAGCTGCCCCCCCACATAAATAAATAAATAAAATGAACAGATGTAGAAGTACAGCTAATTAATAGTTTATTATTATTTCTATTCCACTGACAGGAAAATGAAACTTAGTCTATATAATAGGATCAAATAGAATAAACATTGCAAATTTTATCAAAAACTGCAGTGGTCTGCTATGATGAAGCTGTTTATTTTATGACAGCCTAGCTTCGCTTCTTTCCTTTTAACACTATTCTTTGTAATCAGACAAATCTGTATGGTAACAGTGACTGACACGGAGTAGGTTGCCCAGAAAATAGCTAAACATTGCTTCAGTACTTGAGGAACAGCTCTTTTTTAAAATTTTCTAGCACATCAGTGATAGTTATCTTCCTGCTCAGTGCCACAGGTCTTTGTTCTGTGGTGGAAATCTGTTTCTAAACCTCTACTGGGCAGGCCTGAAGGAACCCCATTGGGTACTCACCCTGACATTGTGAGGATGCAGGCCTCCTGGGTGCTGAGACATGTACTGGGCCAGGTCTGTGTGCTAAACAATACAGCAGGAAGAGAAAAGAAGATGGTGAATTCAGGAGGCTGGGGACAGTGTCCTAAAGCAGACCGAGGGCTGACCTCCCAGAGGCAGTTAGGCTTGTAGATTAAGGAATAAAAAGATCATAACGAGGTACGCCCCATGGGGAAGGGGAAGCACATTTTCTCTTCCTCATTGGCTGCTCCGAGAAGGGAGCCTGTTTCTTGGCTCCCTTTGTGTGACTGGTATTGACTCAACACAGAAACTTTTCCCAGTCCAAATGTTCTTGGAGGCAAGTCAAGTATACGAACCTGATGGTTTCTTTCTGCTCAGTTCAGTCTTTTGCTCTTTAAAAAATACAAGGTGTAGGGCCAGGGAGATGGCTCAGTGGAATAAGCGCTTCCCTGGTAAGCGCAAGGGCCTGAGTTCAATCCCTGGTTCCACCAAAAAAATAAATAAATAAATAAAAAATACAAAGTGATCTATTCTTTGCATATAGTTTTTAAGTATTTTATACATATCCTTATCAGTGGCAAAGTGTTGTATTCTGCTTAAATAGTGATTAAAAGTAGATTTGGGAAAATGATTTTTTAATGTAGGAGGTGATGGGAGAAAAGAAACAGCAAAAATAGTAAAAACAAAACAAAAAAAAATAGTAAAAACAGACTAAAGGTGACTACAACAATAAAACACTACTAATCATCACAAAGATTGCCATACTTTCCACATCATAATGAAAGTTTTATCACGTCATAAAATATTAACAGATTCATTAGCCAAACACTAAGCTTACTCTTTCCTCCTGTGTTATAAAATGCTGGAGAACTCACCATGTATTCGAACACGAATGTCAATGTCTCTTTGGTGTGAACTATGTCATGTAGGAGCACGATATTGGCATGCTTTAAGCCCTTCAGGAGAGAAGCTAGAAAGATTAAACAAAATGTTAAATCAATTACAGATAATAAAAGTGCTGCTTTCAAATTGTCAAACAGCACCTGTATTTATTTTTTAAGCATTTCAAATCAAGCACTCCAGTTTTTTGCTCTTGAAAATAGATCTCTCCTCAAAGAATATTAAAATGAAAAAAGACCTTCATTATTTTAAAAATGGTAAACCACTGTGTTTATTCAATTTGCTTCTACAAGCTAGAGTGGTTACAAAAACAAAGTTTCCATTTGCTTAATCAATTTCATCAGAGCACTCCCAGCACTTTGTGAATGCCCTCCTCAGGGAATCCCAGCGTCTCCACTCCAGAGAGGGCATGGAGAGACAAAGGCCACTGAGGAGCAGGAAATAGAGTGGCTTCCACAGCAACACTTTGCAACACATGACCAGTCTTCAAAATGCAAAGTCGCACTGGAGGTTGACAGAGCTGTGGATATAACAGATGTAATGACATAAGGGTGGGAGACAGGAATAAGAGCAGCTCCCTACCCACAGTACTTGGCTCAGAGACAGGTAAATTGAAGAACTGTTGACATGTAATGAACAGTGAGGAGGCATTCTTAAAGGGAAAGTTGCAAGCCCCTGTAGAAAGGAGAAAATGCAAGCTTTGAAAGAGTAGGCCAAACATAGGCGCAGAGAAGTGGAAGTGCTAACAACTGACTCTTCTTAGTTTGAGGGGAAGGGTGCTGGGGTCAAACCCAGAGCTTCCTGCAAGCTAGA